TGGTGGGTAGGGTCGCAGGTGTTGCTGGCGACTTCGGTGGCGAGAGATCTATCAGGTGTTTCCATGATGCTGGTGGTGCGAGGGGGTGTACGTGTCTCCGGCAATGCTGTCGGTGCGTGCTTAGGGAGTTCAAATGCAAGGCGACATGTCTTCGAACAATTGGTGTGCAGATGCGTGTTTGCGGTGACGGATATGCTTGACTGCAGGGGTCTGGGTTGGCTGCAAGGGGTGAGTGGAGCATTTGTCGAACACATGGTGAACTTGTGCTAGTCTGGTTGTGCAGGGGATGAGCCCCTGGTGGTCTAGGTGTTTGATGTTTGACGATCGGCAAGAGCAAGTGTTGGGCAATGGATTTCGTTGTTGCTAGTGTGCCAGGTTGTGTTTGGGCTGAGTGGTGGAGCCACTGGGTAGGGTTGATATTGGCGAGATTAGAGCTAGAGTCGAAGCCACCGAGGGGAAGCACAGAGAAACCCCTCGGTGGACTTGAGGTCGAGGAGGAGGAGGAGGAGGAGGAGGAAGTATTTCTAGGATGAAGAGGATTGGCTTTGATATCATGATTAATACAGAGAAATTAGAGAGAGATTGGTCAATATTGTTCATGCTACTGAGGTGTTTAAATACGAGAGAAAATAGAGAAGTTTTAATAACCTAAGGGCCTGTTTGGATTTGTAGGGGGTGAAGGGAAGTTAAGGGAAACCGAGTGAAGGGAAGGGAAGGGAGTTACATTCCCCGTGGTTACACCCCAATTTGGGGGGTAACAATTTTTATACTATTAGGGGGTGAACCAAGGGGAACTAGGGTGAATTAACTTCACATCCTAAGTATTTCCAAACAAGGTGAATGGAGGTGAATGGTTCCTCTAACTTCCCTTCACCCTCATTCCCCTCAATCCAAACAAGCCCTAAGGGAAGTGGGAGTAAAGTAAAACAAAATATGAAAGTCTAACTACTAAACAAAATCATTCCTCCACTCGAAAAATAATCAGAATCAAAAGCGACAATTGCCGTAGAACAATCCAAGTCAACTTTGATGCCTATAAAATCTTTTTTGCAAGAGCCAATGAAAGGCCATGTTCTATCACTTTGAGCTCGCAAATCAATGAATCATAGTAACATTTGAGTGCTAAAGAAAATGCAAATTAACAAAATCGCCCCCCAACGCCTGGAAGAACCGCGCCCAATGCCTGCTACTTCAGTATGAGAATGACATGCTCCATCGCAATTCAATTTCACGCATCCATGCTCAGGGACCGACCAACGCAAGCGTGGACCTGGAGTCGGCTCGGGGGAACCCAACACTCGCGAATACTTACTCCACAGTAAACAAAACTTTCGCTGCCACCCAACTTGCCTACTCATCCTCGTTGCCAAAAACCTTGCCATTTCCACACAACCATAAATATATATATCATTCCTCCATTAGCTCGTTTTCCATATACTTCCAGGCACAAATCTTCTTTGGGTTTTTACATACCCATGACCCCCTCCCAAAATCTTCTTGGTAACGCCATGCGAAATAATAGCTTCAGGGTTACAAAGAGTTTTACACGCAAGATAATAAGCACTTCTTACTGTAAAAGAATCATTTTTCTCCGCATTCCAAATAAATTTTTTTTTCCGGATGTTTAACTATGTTTTTCAGATGAATACTCCCAAAATCATATGTATTTCCAAATTTACTCCTCAATTAAAAGCAATATAATTTTAAATTTGCCCTTTAAATTGGTTCACACCAGTTTACCCCTCTGGTTAAAATGCTAAAAATATTTAGGATAATTGTACCATTTTATACCTATTTTAAATATTTCTTCCAAAGATTTCAAAAAAAATTCAATCCGTTATATTCAAAACGTGATCCGTCTATATCCATATATTAAAGTAAGGCTGGAGGTTGCCACCTGGAAACTTGTGGTTTTTTTGTTTTGCTTTTTTTTATGTTTCTTTTTTTCTTTTCTTTTTTTCACTAACCTTTTTTTACTTCATTACTCGTAAAGTGTAATTAATAAGTAATTAAAATTAAACTTTTCGAACTCCTCCCGCCAAAATTACAATTAAAATCGGTCATGTACAGTTAGTTGAATTGAAACGTCACTCCTCTCTTAGCCATTAATTTCAAGTTCTTTTAAAGCTATTTCTTCTTCATTGCTTGTCCTTTTTCTCACGTACTGTAATGCACAACTTTTTCATCTCCATTCTTTATACCTTTTCAACTTTTCTTTTATTTTTATTTCGTATAATAAACGTCAAATTGACCTATTTTCAGAATCCTTTGCCATGCCTAAGAGGCATTTAATGAATCTACTTTTTATGTTTAGCATCACAATGAAACATGCTCTCTCACAGATAAGGCATATTAATTTGAAATTGTAATTAGAGTTTATTCGATAATACGCAAGCAAAAATGAAGCCACGACCACAGTGAAAAGCCAGGGAGGAGGAGCTGAAAAACATGGTTTCTCAGTAGGTAATTAATTTCAATATATTCTTATGTTCAACTTTAGCTTCATACAGATTTTGATTTTGATGTCTATCCATTGAATTCATAGAATAAAATTGAACTGGATTCTCAAGTCATTGAAAAACACAATATAAATATCTGAATTTTCATAACACACATTAGAAAAAAATAAACAGAAACTCAAAACAGTCCAAATTTAATGTTTTTTAAAACCTACCCTACTTTTGGTGTTCCAAACATATTCTTATATATTTATCGTCTTTATTGGATTTAATCTAATAAAACTATTTGTGGGCACATATGATTAATCAATGTATACTGCTATCCTTCAGGATAACCCACTAAAGTGATCAATTAATTTGGGTTAATGAGTATTTAAATAAGTCATGGGGTTATATGTGCAGATACCAGGTTGTAATTGTGATTTGATGAGGGGTCAAATTGTAAATGTACAACATCTATAAATAAGGGGTTATGGTCCCTAATCTAGGGTTACACTCTCTAATTCTCTTCACCCCCATCTAGAGAGAAATTTGGCTAGAGAAACCCTAAGGTTAGAAGATCTAAAACCCATCTCAAGTTTCATCTATGGATTCAGGTATAAGCTTCCGCTCTTTTAATTCTTGTTAATCTCTTCGAATTAATCATGACTTTATGGTTTTAGATCTTAAGTTTTTATTAGATCTAAAAAGTGGTATCAGAGCCACATTTGATTAATTCTTAGGGATTTAAGTTTTTAAAATTGGGTTTTTTAATCTTAAATCTCTGGTTTTGGGTTAAGATCTGTTCTCGGATGAACAATAATGTTCGAATGAACAGTAACATTTTTTATTTTTCGGATTTTTTCTTTGATTTTTCTTGGATCTGGATCAAGAAAATTCACTTTTTCGATTCTGGATCTGTTTTTTGAAATAAAATCGAGAAATTTTTTGGATCTTCTTTGTTTTGGTCATCGGTCCCGTGCTCCTCGCCGGCGCAGCGTCGCTGGCGGCCTCGCCCTCGACTCCGACGGCGATGGTGGCGTCAGGAAACCCTAGGGTTTCGACCTCTTGGATGCAGGAGCAACAACGGCGGCAGTTTCAGATTTAACCCTCTAAGGGTTCATGCGTGAAAACGTGCGGGAATTAAGGAGGTGGTTACCTCAAATTTTGGCGAGGCTTGAAAGCTTCAAACGAACCTCGCGTTCGTTCTAAAGTGAGCATCGCGCTCAAATTTAACCGAACTTCGCTTTCGTTCTCAAGTGAGCATCGCGCTCAAATCAAACGAACCTCGCGTTCGTTCTAAGGTAAGCCTCGTGCTCAGTTCTAAGGTGAGCCTCGCGCTCAGTTCTAAGGTGAGCCTCGCGCTCAGTTCTCAGGTGAGCCTCGCGCTCAATTTAAGTCGAACCTCGCGTTCGTTCTCAGGTGAGCCTCGCGCTCGATTCAAACGAACCTCGCGTTCGTTCTCAAGTTGAACCCTGCGTTCATTTTCAGTTGAACCTCGCGTTCATTTTTCAAACGAACCTCGCGTTCATTCTCAAGTTGAACCCTGCGTTCATTTTCAGTTGAACCTCACATTCATTTTTCAAACGAACCTCGCGTTCGTTCTCAAGTTGAACATCACGTTCATTTTCAGACGAACATTGCGTTCGTGCTTAAGTGAGTCTCGTACTCAATACAGACGAACCTCGCGTT